GGACTTTCCTATTGCCTTCATTAATTTTCATTTGATTGCTTCCAATAATTTAGAATAGAGGGTAAATTCACACATGTTATTTGTCATATATGATCCCAATCATTTCACATGTTAAAGAACAGGAATTTTAAAGTACTAAAATTCTAGGTAGAATTTGCTCCTTCCAGAATTAATAGCTTGACATGCTCTTATTAGGACACATGCACACAAAAGACCTGTAACTAAATTTATAGGTTTTTAGTATCTACTGTTAACCAAAATTTATAAATGATAATTAGCATCAAGAAAATCAGTGTCACTGTGAAAAGGTCTGGGCCCAATACATTCTATAAAATCTGAGGAAAGAAATGTTTACATGTCATGAAGCTGTGTGAGTTAGCAGATTCATGCTACTGAGGTTGACAAAAGTAAAGGTATTAGAATGTTTGATAGAGTTTAATAAATGATATTCTGCTCATACCTTCCCAAAGCATTGGTGTGTGTGGGTAGATCAGATGAAGCTAAGAATCATTTCCAAAATCTAGTGAATTCTCCAGAGACTGCCCTTTTAGCCAGGGGCAAAAGCTTCCTAAACCACTAAAGGTTAGATCAGAGCTGTTAATGATTCATGCAGTTCACAGCGGTCTTTTAGTTCCTATGCAGAATTCTTTGTGCTATTTCAGCTGCTTGGCTGAGCCTTTCAGTCAGTTGTTCTGCTCAAATTTGAGGATACTAATGCACAGAAAAGGCCTGGATGTGACTTCCCTAAAGTACCTAGGGCACCAAATGTCACATGAATGTTGCCGTGACCTTTCCTTGGCTGTCAGCATGATGAGAGTTAAGTCCTGTCACTGGAAGATGATGAGAGTTGGAAAGCATAGCAGATATAGGTTAAGGCTAGGACAGATTTTCTGGTATAGAAATTCAGCTCAGCTAGACTCAGCTGAAAGACTTCATGGCCTGAGAGTCCCAAGGGTAAGGAAAGACACACTTTAAGAATGTGCCAAGCAGGGCAGCGTGTTAATGACTATGTGAATGTCTGTTAGTAACCTAAAATGTTATTGTTCTTGCTTTTTTAACCCCGTAACGGTTAGGGGGAAATATTTGAGGACTGAATACATTTTCTAATCATACATGTTTACAAGACATTTGGAAAAGATGACAATCCAAATAAGTGGTTAGAATTCATATTCACATTAATATATATATATATATATATATTGTAGGGTTTGTTCATTCTTACTCTAATCAGCCTATCTCCCACCCTCCCTTGTGTGAGTGCGTGTGTGTGTGTGTATGTGTGTGTGCCTGTCTGTCTGTGTTAATGCAGAGACATATAGGATTCTCTGGAGCTAGAGTTACAGGTGGCTGTAAGTTGTCATATGTGGTGCAGGAATTGAACTTGGGTCACCTGCAGGAACAGCAAAGGCTCTTAGTCACTGAGCCATCTCTCTAGTCCTGATCTTAAGTTTTTATGTTAATATAGATTAGAAATAATCTCCTAAACCATAGTTATCTTGAATTGACCTAAAATTTGAATCTATTTACGTAGAGAATTTCCCAAGACACATTATTGTGCATCACCTACAGTTATGGGGTTATGGACGAGGGGTAGTAATTTATCCTATGGACTCTTTCTTGAGCTTTAAAAATGAGATGTTATTGATGTTGATCAGGTATGTGGTAGGTCATCCACTGAAGGTAAGTGATCTGTCTGATAGATAGATGAGGTGACTGTGCAAAGCCACATAACTAGAAAACAGTTAGGTCATCTTGCACATTGGTCTTGAGCCCTAGTATGTGACTTGGAGTCTGCCGGTGTAATAGAAGTACTGTGGCTTCTGTTTTACATTTCAGTTTTGAGATATGAAGTCTCCTTCATAACGAGGATTTTAGTCATTTTCCACACAGGCTAGTTTCTTTCACATTCCAGATTTTTATAACTTTTTTTGCACTTTTTCTACAGACTTTCTAAGGTTTGATTCAGTGTTCCTCAGTTATTCACTGGGGAATCACTACTGCTCAGTGAAAAAATGGTTTGGTGTTGGAGTGGGCAGAGAGCTGTGATGCAAAGGAATAAATAACATCTGATTGGACTTCTCTCTCTCTGTGGGATCTGTTTTCTTCACAGAGAGTCTCCCCTCTGGAGGAGCATGCATGGCCATTACTGCGTCTTCACACCTAAGCTGAAGTTCCTTCTAGGATTGCCTTTTCTGGGTTCTAGACATGCTATCATTTTCTTGGGAGTTACAAAAATGTTTCTCTTTCCTCCCTGGTTTCCTAGTGATTTCTGAACAGTGATCTTTGCCTTGACAGGATGGATGAGGTTAATAGTGCAGGCTCTAGTTCACACTATGGGCCAGTATACCTGAGGCCTGGAGCTCAGTTTGACCCAGTTTAACCTTGAATGTTAAGACAGGGATTGAGATTTCACTACATTTTGGTGAAGATTAAAGTCAATATTGTATCTTCAGCTCTCAGAGGAGTAATTGTCATAAGGGCAGCACTTCCTTTCTGTAACAATAAGTTACAAGTACTGGGAAAGGACACTGGATATAGAGGCTGTTGCTCTGAGGTGTACTCTGGGAAAGGACACTGGATATAGAGGCTGTTGCTCTGAGGTGTACTCTGGTGGCTTTCTTAATAATAGTTTCTGTGTGTTGTATGCAGATTTGGGGAAGGATCTGAGTTTAGTAGCAGCTGAGTAGGTAGACCTCAGCTGTTCTGAATGTCCAGCTTTTCTTGTTTTGGTGTCAGGCAGACCTTTTGGTAAGAGTGCTTTTATCTTTTGGATGAGATGTACCTCGGTTGGTCTGAGTGGATGTAGTGATTCTTTTGTTTTGGTTCCAGGATGTGGGTCTGGTCAAAGGAGAAACTTGTGGTAGCCTTTGTGGTCTCCTTGGCTGCTCACTGCCCCATGGCTGTTACACACTGGATTCATGTTCTTACTATAGATGTTCCTGTTTCCACCGTGGTTCCCATGAGACCTTGCTGTCTTGATTTTTATCCTGTTGCTGTGTCTACTTCCTCCTGCTTCCAGCAGGAACAGCTTGTAGTCCAGAATGAGGGATGAAGCAAGGACAATTTGACGTTTAATCATTTTCTCTTTGTCCAAAGGGAGTAGTGTTTGGCTTCTGTTAAAATAGAACTTCTTTCTTCCAAAGCTTCAAGGGAACAGTATACTAGATGGGCCAGAGGCAAACTGGTGAAGGTGGCGGAAAGGATTGTGAGGTGGCCATTGACCCTCCTTTCTACACAGCATTCTGAGGGTCATAGAGAACACTCAGTGTTGTTGCTTCAGTGAACTAGATAAACCAGCCCTTGCCTTTACAAGCATACGGCCTAGAGACATAGGAACCCAGGAAGCTGTATAAGTATGTTGGTGGTCATGTCACACTTTTCAAAACTGTTTGAAGTTTTTTATTTTGCTCACATTAAGCTAGAGTTCTTACATTGATCCAAAATACTCCATAAGATCTGCCTGTGTCACCTCCTCTTTGTGTTCTGAAGTTAGTCATTAACTCTGCCTGTGTTAGCATGTGCTAAGAAACACCCCTGGCTTTTGGCTTCTTCCTCTGACTGGGATGTTCTTCCTCTTGCCTTCGTACTGTCTGCATGCCCTTTGCAGTAAGACTTGTTAACCTGCCCAGAGTCAGTGGTGCTGAGGATCCAACATAGGGCTTTCTGCATTCTGGGCATGTGCTACACCACCAAGGCCCAATCCTTTTTCCTTTTTGATTTTAAGATAAGACATTGCTCAGTTGTTCAAAATGTCCTTGAACTCACTCTGTATCCTAGATAGGCTGATAGCTGCTGATTTTCCTGCAACTATAGGGCTTCACCACCAGGCCTGGGTACCAATTTTTATTATATTTGTAAGGTAAGTTCAGTGAGAATCAGGAATCTTCATTTTGTTTGCTTAAGTAATATCAAGTAGCATTCAGTAAAAACAAGTGAATGAAAATTACTTTGGAAAAAATTAAAGGATTATGTTAATTTCCTGTGACCATTGCAAAATTAACAAAGCTCAGGTAGCAGAGAACAACAGAGAAGTGTTGTCTTACGGCTTTGGAAGTTCAAACTCAAGGTATCACCAGGCCCTTGCTTACTTCAAAGCCATAGGGGGAAAACCATTCCTTGCCTTTTCCAGATTTAGTAGTTCTACGTGTTGTATAGCTTTTAGCCATCCCTTGGTAGTTATTCCTTGGTCATGTAGCATTTCTTGTGTGTCTCAGAACCCCAACCACACCTGTCACAGGATGTGTGTGTTTGTATTTAGGATCCACTTGCATAATGCAGGGCAAAGATCAGTAATCACATCTTTGGGCACATAAGGTGATATCTACTATTTTTGAATAGAGGTATGTATTTTGGAGGTCCAGCATTTGCCCATTACAAAGAGTTGTGGATGTAATTCATCAGAGGAGGAAGAAATGCCCAAGTACACTTGACATGGTACACCACTAAGTAGAAGGAAGTCAGAGGCTGCTCTTTTTCTCACTTCTACCATTTTTAAGTCATATTTTGTTTCTATTTTTATTTCTCTTCTTCAAACAAAATGTACATGTGTTCTCAGACACACAAGGAAGAGTACAACAGACAGGATGTTTTCTTGACTGCCCTACGTTTGCTTCTAGGTGGTATGTCTGTCTGTCTGTCTGTCTGTCTGTCTGTCTGTCTGTCTGTCTATGTATCTACCTGGTTTCCATGTATTGGCCTTACCAGATGTTAACACAGTGATAGTTGCCTTGTATCTTTTGTTGTCCAGCACAGGGGTGGCTCCAAATAGCACATGTTATCTCAGTCGGTAAGCATGCTCCAGTGTTTTTTTTTTTTTTAACAGGATCAGGTTATATTATGTGCTAAGTGTATATTTACTTCATCTGTTTGTATTTGGACAAGAAGTGCTACTTTTATGGTGTTCCATGGGTTCCCAAAAGGGAACATCTTCATTCTATCTATAGACATTAGTAACAGGAAAAATGAGTTAAATGAGTTAAATTTGTTATTTTTCTCTCTAGGTTGCGTCCCAACGCATAAGCTCAGTAGACCTCTCCTGTTGTAGCCTTGAACACCTGCCTGCCAACCTCTTCTACAGCCAAGACCTTACTCATCTCAATTTAAAACAAAACTTCCTAAGGCAAAACCCTACCCTCCCAGCTGCCAGAGGACTTGGTGAACTGCAAAGGTGAGCCTGCAGAAGTGCTAAAATCCTGGGGAGGGCTGGGACCCAGGCCAGTGCAGGGTCAACCTGGCTGGGAATTATCTCTTGACTATTCTGACAGGTACATTTTTCCCCTCCAGAAGGCAGCACACCATGATTTTATTTTATAGTGAGGACAGTATCAGTTATCACTCTGAAATTGTCCCTAATGCTTCCTGCCTTTAAAATTACGAATTGTAGTTACTCATTGGGTAGATTTACACAAGAGCAGTTCTTTTTAAACGAACTTCACTCCCTGGAAATCTGCAAATAAGACTGTGGAAAGTTAATGGTATTTAGTGTGTTTCTTCTAACTTTGAGTGTTTGTTAAGGATATATTTTTTTATTATGAAATTCATGGGTCAGTTTTTTTCCCATAAAAAGACATATCTTAGAAATATAAGAACCAAGGTTTAAATCCAAAGCACTGTAACATCTGTGTATCGGTGTGTTGAATTTGAGTTATATGTGTCAGCAGGACAATCTGTCCCATTGTGACTAGAAGTATCTCTAAAAGAGATCTGAGAATTTGTCATATTCCTTCTATCCTGTCTTGAGTAATGACCAATCTTGATTCTATAGGAAATGAAGACCCTCGTTAGTGTACATGTAGAGACTGTACCAGAAGAGGATGTATCTGTGTTCAAGGAGCAGTGTGGTCCATACTTAAGTGGCTGATATAGTTAGAGAGAAAGCTATGCTAAATCAGTCATTGTGATTATATATTTATGGTTTTAACACCCAGAAAGAAAAGTCCAATCAATTTTATTGTTCTTTCAAAAAAGTTGTGAATATTCTTTGATACCATACCTAAATTTTGACAACTGGTATCTTAAAATATTAAGGGGCATTAGGACTCATCTTAACTAAACCCATTCAAGGTTATCAGGCTATCAGGACAAATTCGGTTAGTAATCTGAGAAGGAAGTTAGTTACTGGCATTAAAGAATGATTTGAAGAGATTTTCAGCTATGTATGCAATGTTTACTTCTTTAAGAAAAAAGCAATATAGAGGTAGATATGGCAAAAATGTTAACATTTGATAAATGGAATTGTAAATACCTGGATGACATTATTTTCTCTATTCTTCTACTTAAGTGTTCCATAATAATCCAGAATTAAAGCCCACATAAGATGGGTTTCTTGTCACTTACAGGAACATTCACAAAAGAGACATCTGTGAAATGAGTGACTATCCAGATGGCCCCCAGTTCAGTGGGATCCAGGCCCCACCTCGCCTCTTTTTCTTTCAGAGACACCTGGTTGTCACCCCTCCCAATCCTTTGACTCCCAAGCTGTGGATTTTGAGCTCTCCGCATTCACTTCTCCTGTGCAGCTTTCCTGAACGCACACTTCTCCCACTGCCCATACCCTCCCCGTCAGCTGCACCTGGGGCTGGAATCGTGCGCAATGAGGACTTGCTGTTGTTTCCCACTGCAGTTAGCCTGTTTCCTGTGTAAGATAAAATGAAACATAGGAACATTTTTGTGCTTTAAAAAGTGCATACTCATTTCTCATCAAAATAATGCTGTGTGCAGAATTTAAAAAATTCTACTAAATAAGGTTATAACACATAGTTCCCTGAATTTCCGGTACACCGTTGGACCCAAGTCCTACTTTTGAGCAAGCCATTTTTGTGCCATTTGGATCTATTGTGTTCTCTACTCTCCTCAAATACTGTACACATACTGTAGACATTCTGTGCTGGGTTTAAGAAGGTAAGGCCTTGCTTCTTCTGTTACAGCACACCCTTCCTGCCTCATGCTTCCTGCACAGCTCCTTCCCCATTCTCTTGATATACTGGTCTCAAGTTTTTATCCAGTTGGCACTCACTGTTACCGTGTTAGCAGGGAGCTGCTGTTTCCACCTCAGGAACTTAAGCTCCAGGAGTACATTTCTGGTGCCAGCTTACTGGCCACCTCTCCTCTTCATGTGTATTCTTTCCTTCTCCCTTGCTTGTGCAGGCTTCCTGACAGAACTTAGCATTGTTCCGAACACCTGTTACTTGGAGACTGCTCCCATTTTGTGGCCAGTGTAGGTATTTGCTCTTTTTGCCTGTTACATAGCAAAGACAGTGAGTACATCTTTTTCAGTATTACTTGAGAGGACCCTTTGGCTTCTGTCTGAGTGATCATGCCAAGATTGAGAGAGCGGAGTGGGAAAGAGAACCAGAATCTCAAAGTTAAACGTATGGATTTTTGTCTAGTCCTCATGTTTGCAAAACAATGTGTTTTGTTGTGCCTGTGTCTTTGGACCAGTAATTCTCTGGTTTAGTTTCTTCAGGAATAAACTCTCTGAACCTCTCTGGCTGGAACTGGGGAGAGAATATGGCATCTAAACATCTCCTTATATAATCTTTGACACTTTTTTTTATATTGTGTAACAAAAGTACAGGACAGGCATAGACAGGCGTGTGCATCCTAGTGGATGCCTACCAGATACATACATCCATGTAACTACTGCCCATATTGAGAAATAGGTTGTTATCAGCACACAGCAACCCTTTCTCTGCCCCCTGGATAACGATGGTGATCTCTATCCTGGCTTCTGACCCTGATTCAGTCCTACCTGTTTTTATACTTGATATAAATGGATCATATAGTGAGTGCATCCAGTTTCTTTCATATATTACTCTTTGGAAAAAGCAAAACATAGTATTTATCTTAGCAGTCCAGACTGGCCAACTCAAATGACTTGATTTGTGATGGAAGGTTAGCACATTTCACATTATAAAAGTACTATTTTGTTCTCTGTTGCTTTAAGGTTGAGCAGGTGTGACTTAAGAGGCTTGGTCTGTGAGGTCAGAGATTCTGGACTGCCATTATGTTGCCCTTAAGAAAACAAACTAGGCTTCAAACTAAATCCTCCTTAAACATCTTACTATGCAGTACTTGTGTGACATCTATTCAGATTTGTTTTCAAAGTAATAACAAGCACTTCCACACACATATAGACACATGTATTAATGTCAGGAATTAAAGTTATGATATATATTTAAGAAAGTCATATTTATAATCAAGAAATCACTAATATACATTTTAAGTTATAGTTTTAGTAAGCTTGTTCTTTGCTGAGAATCATGCTTTTTTTTTTAAAAGACCATTTTATTTTATATGTATGAGTTTTTTTGCTATATGTATGTATGTGTACCAAGTGCATGTCTGGTGCATGCCTGTTGCTCAAGGAGGTCAGTAGAGGACTTTGGGTCCCTTGGAACTGGAGGTAGAGATGATTGTGAACCATCATGTGCGTTCTGGAGATTGAACCTGGATCCTCTTGTAAGAGTAAAAGATGCTCTCAACTGAGAATCTTTCCAATGCCTCTGTGACAACTGGACACATATAATGGATATAGAATTTAATACAGTATATATTACACACACACACACTTATTTATTTACTACACTCTTCAGCTTTTACTACTATTAGCACTCCCTTTTCTCTACAACTCCTTTTCATACATTCATGTCTCCCTACAGCTTCCTTTCTTACATTGATGTCTTTTTGTTTAGTTTGTGAGTTACTGAATTTAACTAGGGCCATTGTCTACAGATTTGCAACTGTCCATTGGACCATGGTGGGCTCACCTGTGCATACAAAACTGAACAGAGTGATTGCCCTTCTTGCAGAATCCATCAGTAACCAATAGCAGGGAGGAATAGGACTCCCTGAACCCCTCTTTAATCCATGATTGTCTAATGACAGACATTAAATTTGTGTGTTGCAAGGGTTTCTACCTGATTACAAGAGAAAAGCATTTGTATTGTTTCATACACATGAGAGTATCAACAGAAAAGTTAAGACCTGGAGAAGAGCAAACCTCAGTGCTTCTATACTAGATTGAGCAAAGGGAGTCAGTTGTGAAAAAGAGTAGGGCCCCAGGAAAGATAGCCATTACTTTAACAAGGTCTGTTTGTAGAGATCCCTTTCCGTGTTGATTACCATCTCAGTGCTAAGAATGTTTCCTCCCTCCTGGTCTGTGGAGGACATCCTCTACGAGCATCATCTCTCTTGCTTTCAGGAGAATTGAGGGAACCAGAGGGCATCTCTATTACCTACTGTTTTTCTTTAGTTTAAAACAATCCTTATGACACAGAGCAGATGTAGGGGGCATCTTCTGTCATCCTTCTTAATGGGATGGCAAGCAGTTCTTTATCATGATACCTGCAGCCTTAGGAAAACAGTGTGGACAGTGCACACAGACAGTAACAACTGTGTGTGCTCCATTTCTCCTTGCTCTGTCCATAGTACTTGGAATGTTTAAAGCAAGTTAAGTTTATTTATCCAAGACCATATTACTATATTAATCATTGCATTTAATAGGTAACCTGTGTTTAAGACATTCTTGACAAACTTATGATTACATTTAAATGACTTAATCTTGTATATGGAAAATTACTTTGTTGAATAGAAATTACTTTAAAATGTTTTGCTTGTCTTTGATTATTCTTTGTTCTCACTATTATCCATAAATATGGGTTGGAAGCCCTTGTTCTAACTCCTGAACTTTGATAAACTGGTACAGGGAAACAAGGCTAGGACCAGTAGCCAGCCCTGACTGCTTCCAGAGTGGGGTTAATTTTATAAGAAGAGTGCTAACTTTTATCTTCAGGTATTTTGTTGTTGTTTAGTAACTTCTTACATGCATATATTGTGCTTTAATCAAATCCATCCCCACTACTTTCCCTCTAGTTCTCTGAATTCCCCTACTGCTTTTGCCTCCTAATTTAATGTGCCCCTTCTTTTATTGAAAATAGGTTATTTTTCTCATATAAAATATCCTGATTATAGCTTCCCTTTCCTCAATTCCTCCCAGTTCCTCCCTACCTCTTTCCCTCTCTCATTAGAAAGGAATAGGCAGATTCTAACAACAAAACATAACAAAATGAAACAAAGGCTATCTCTGCTAGGCAGTTGTGACACACACCTTTAATACCAGCACTGGGAAGGCAGAGGCAGGTGGATCTCAGTGAGTTGGAGGTCAAC